GACTTTAAGTCCATCCAAGTTGCTGTAAAGTTCGGACCTTGAACACTTATCACAATACTATAAGAAAAGGATTGGCAATATTGGGAAACTATGTGGGGGGGGGGGCATACCTCATCAACAAGGGTACCTGCATAATGAACTTTTGTGTACCTAACACTGAATTGTACTCCACCTCTTTAAAATAAATTTTTTACAAAGTGAAATTGTGTAAATATAAGAAGTACTTAAGAAGAAATGAAAATATCCAGATAATATATCTGATTTTATTTTAAATTTTTTTGTTTCACATGAGAAGCCAAAAAAAACTAAAGATGTTGGTATGTACGGGATATGAATAGAGGCATCGGAAACAGTTCAGTGTCATCCTCTCTGTGAATCTCTCCTATATTCTGAATTATTGAAAAGTGTTACATTTCAGACAGCAGCACTTTCAGCAAAATGAAGAAAGTTTTTTGGCTTGGGTGGTTTTTTGGTTTTTTGTTCTCTGGGCACAATGATTTGTCTTGACCACTGGCATTTTTGATCTTGGTAAACTGTCCATTTTTGAAACTATTTAGGCAGTTTAAATAATTCACAATTTAGATATGAAACCCACAGGGGATCGCTTTTGCTGCTCTATTTTAAAATAAATGAGGCAGTCATTTTGTACTTGTAGAAAAATTAAGTTCAGGCCTCCTCTCTACCGTGGGCTTCTAAACTGTTGTAGGTGACTTAACTCTATTGTTATTTTAAGACAAGACGGGAGCCCCAATCCTGCCCTGCTCTCCCCTTCCCATTCCAGTCACATAGGAGGTCAGCTTTCAGTCCTTTCTTTCCCCATTTTCTGAGACTCATTTATTTGAGCCGAGGAAGCCAGTCAGAGTAAAGGCGATGATGTTCTTTTGTTCCTCCTGGAAGATGGGCTTGGGAGTGTGACTGTAATATCTTCTGTGTCAGCTATTATTGTTCCCCAACAGCTTCCTCTGCCACCTGCCCTGCAGTCCCAACTCTGGCTATTTTAATGTAATGTATTTTTACATATAAGATACTTCTAGCTTTGTTTTATTTTTGAGTGCTTTAAGAAACATATTCTTTTGAAGTGGCTTGGTTTAGATACAGTTGATGAGCAGTCCATCAAGGGAGAGCATTTTCACCTGGCAGATAATGCAGCCAATGGGAATTGAAGCTGCTCTGGTGGTCACTTAAAAGTGTCGAAGTTTTATGTAGGGTTAGATGAAATTGCTGATATTCAAATTTTAACTTACAGAATTGGCAATTTCTTCTTGTTCCATCTGAGCTTATGGATAACAAGGGCTAAACAGCCATGTTATGATTCTCTAAGAGGAGAAACAGAGGTAGCTTCCACTCTTATCAGTGAGAAGAGATTCATTCATGCTGCAGTTGGAGTTATTTCTGATGTAAACACAATTATTTTAATGGGAGCATTACATTTTTACACTTTGTATCATGGCCCTGGCTTTCTGCTTTGGTGTGCTCATGTCCCAGCCCCACCAATAGGACATGGACCCAGTAGCTCACATTTCTGTCATGAACCAACATTGAAACTTCTGCTCCTATCACCAACACTTGATGTGTAAGAACAGCTATCATCTTCTTATTTTTTATTTAGAAAGAAGTAAGGTGGTAGTTGAGAACTAATTGTAAATGTCCCAGAAGGGACTTCTGGGAGTTCACCTCCAGACCCACCCCACTGCCTGGCCTTCAGGACGCATGCTGACTCCTGTTGGAGCACAGGTCCTCAGCAGGGTCCTAGTGATAGCTTTTGTCGGAACTGCTGACCTCTGCCTCACAATGGTACATTTGTGTTTTCAGTTGAATATACTTAAGGAGGAATCCTTTCTTTCATCTTTACTCTATGTCCCCAAAGCCTTCACGACAGCTTCTTCCATACACCATGGACTTCCTTTATTTACAGCATTGTCACAAAAAGCCCAGAGTCAGTCCTGATGCCTCATCTTGACTTCGCCCCACCATGACGCTAAACCTTTCTGAGTCACTTAGCTCTGGACTTGCCTTCTTTAGCTCCAAAGTTAAGCAGTTGAGTATCATAGTCCTGTGATGATATGCCTAAAAGTCATTTAAAGTTGACCTTTTGTTTTCCTTCTAAAATCTGAGCAACAGTACTGCTCATAATGTATATATACAAAGTTATTTCACAGGCTGAATATTGATAGCACAAATGTTAGCCACCATATGGGTCTGGAGGGAGGACATGACTGTTGACTGTGAGGAGATGGGAATGCCTGCTCCCTACCCAGCTCAGCTGCCCGGAGACCTTTTATTGCACCGTTTCTGATTAAGCATGGGAGTGTAACTATAAATTTCCCCTGACAAACCACATCACCTCATCAGCCACATAAGAAAATGACAAAACAACCAACTGTGAAATCATGCTTGCCAAGCTTTTAGCATCACTACACCGGGCGGGATGAGGGTGGGGATAATTTGTACAGGTTGAAATCGAGGCTGGATGGAGCCCAGGAGACAAGCTCTGGCATACCTGTCTCCTCTGAGCTGCCACATGTGGGAAGTGTGTTTATGCCAGAGAGGCCAGGTTATAGGAAACCCTTTGTTCCTCAGAGCCACATCACCAGGCTCCCCAGTGCATGGGAAAAGGCACAAGGGACTGTGGGCATGCCACTTTCTTAGGAATTCCCAGATGTCTAACGACCATTTATATAGCTGAGGTCCATTCATCATTATTCACTAAATCTTCAGGGAAACCTGGTGAAGTTTAGTGTCATTTTCTGTATTTTTTTCAGCAGAGGATACTCAGGTCAGAGAAGCAGCTAGTTAGCTAGTTAATAGTCAGGCTGAGATTCAGCTGGGTCTGACTTGCCTCCATGCCCTTGGTCTTTCACTCTACCTTGAACTGATTTTAAAGTTAAGTGTCTGCAATATTGTCTGCAATATTGGGAACATTGGTGAGAAAGGAGAAGGGGAAATCTATCTCTCGGTATTACCCCAACCCTCTCCAAGATTCCTCTACTTTGGTAGAAAGAGCACTAGAGCGTGAAAGGGACAGACATCTGCCCAACTTCAAGTAACTTGCACAAAGGGCTATAAAGTTATCAAAGACAGGTTTAAGACAGTGAAGAGGGCAAATTACTCTTATTAAGGAAAAGGCAGACTACTAATTTTAAAAAGGGGCAAAAGATTTGAGCAGACACTTCCTAAAAATGATGAATCAGACGGTCAGTGAACAGCTGAAAAGATGTTCAACACCACCAGCCATCACAGAGGTGCAAACATGAACCATGGTAGAAATGACTACATACCCACCAGCATTGCTAGGATGAAGAAGACCACCGTATCAAGTGTTGGTGAGTATCTAGAGCAATCGGATCTCTCAACCTCTTCTGGTAGGAGTGTCAGCTAGTAAACCACTTTGGAAACCCCTTTGATAGTTTTGAATTACAGCTGAACACACACACACCCTACAACCCACATTTCCACTCCTGAGAGTATATCCAGCAGAAATGCATCCATGTGTCCATCAGAAGACCTATGGGAAAGTGCTCAAAGCAACACAGATCCTAGTAGACAAAACCTGAAAACTAACAAAAAACCCATTACCAAGACAGTGAACAAATAACTTGTGAAATGGTCACGTGATGGAATACTATACTACAGGAAAAATGATCAAACTGTTGCTACACATAACAGCATGGTTGGATCTTGCAAACATGATGTTGAGAAAAGGAAGTAGACATGAAAGAGTTCATACTGTATGAAATTACTTACATGAAGTTCAGAAATAAGAAAAGTGAAACTATGCTGTTAGAAGTCAGTCAGGTTGGCGTTAATTTTTGAAGGGGATGAGAGGACGTGGTTAACAGGGAGCAAGTGTGGTTCCCCAGGTGCTGGCGAGGGTCTGCTTCTTGATTTAGGTACTGACCGTGCAGTATGTTCAGAATTTGAAAATCCATCAACTCTTTCCCTTGTGATCTGAGCACTTTTCTGTTGTATATTATACTTCAGTACTGTGTTTTAAAAGTATTATACATACAGATGCTAGTCTTTACTTTTTGACTCCCACTGTGGCAATATAAATTTAAATCAACTTAGTGATTTGCATAGGCATAAAATTGGAATTTTGTGGCATATTGTGCCCTACATTGTGGGAGAAATGTTCATTTTTTTTCTTGATAATGCTTCATTGGCTTCAATTTGTCTGGGCCTGACGAGGTGAGAAGGAGAGAAATGGTAAATTTCATCAGCAGCAGCAGTTATTTGCTGCTTAGCATTATTTATCCAGCCAGAGCAATGCCAGCTAGTCAGGCTCTCACCAGATTATAAAATCCTTTCCTGCCTGGTTGTGTGTAATAAAACTTATCTTTTTGTTATGATTTTCATACCTCCAAGAAGAAACGCAGAAAAAATATGACTGTGAAATTGTAAGACCAGGCTAAAACAAATTCTGAACCTTCACTTCCTAGGAAACAAGTGGAAAAGATGCAACGAGAAGTCCTCTCTTTACCTGGGCAATCTTCACGTGCAGTTGTAGCTGGGAAAAAGGCAATATGGAATGTTAGAGAACCTTAGCAAGAATCTGAAAACTGTTTTACAAAATGTTCGGGTAGCGTGTAGGTTGAGTTTTCAAATTCTCATCTCGACACAAAACTAATTTAATTCTAGCAAGGAACGGGACTGAAAAATGAACAAAGTTGTGTTTTAAAAAACAAAAATTATAAAACACCATCTGGTCCAGAGTCTGAAATGTCGTCTGAGACAGTCTTGAGACTCGGCTCTATTTTTCCTTAGAGTTTCTGTCATCCTGTCTTCTTGTTTGACCACTGTGCATCTGACCCAAGGTTGTTGCCTGGTCTGTCTATAGTCTCACCATGAATTAACAATACAGCAAGACAGGGCCTGTGTCTTTAAACTTCCAGCCTCTTTCTCTTTTCACCCTACGATAGAAATTCCAGATAATACATTAATAATAGCCCAGCGATCATAGGCATGGTATTAATGCATTTCTTGCAAATTATGTGTTTCAGCTTGCTGCCCTTGAATTTCCTCCAAAGAAACTATTTGGAAACAAGGATGAACGTGTGATTGCTGAGAGGAGAAGTCACTTAGAGGTAACAAAATTATGGTCTTCTTTCTCTGTGTGTGTGGAAAGTGTGCCATAAGGTTGACCGGTAAGAGTTATTTCTGTTAAACACCATTATGTGTATTCACGCGTGTGAAGGTGCTGCTTCATTAACACAGAAGATGGCAGCAACAGATTATAAAGATATGATATCAGTTTATTTGAAATAAGTCCATATCTCCCTCTGGTCTAGCCAAACATTTTTCTTATTTTTAAGAAGATACATTTATTCCAAGGGTTAGGAGGCAGGATGTGAGTGAGAACTAAATATTCACCATAGACAGATGGAATGTGATAGAGGATGAGTACAAAGCTTGCTGCAAAAAAACTTGGAATTAATTAACCGAAGATTTATAGTATTACATCATTGTTGCTTTTTCAAGATAGTTGGAAGCAAAAAGACACATACCTATTTTAGTCATGGTTGGATTTCATTTGACTTATTTTAATGGAATCTTCCAAGCCAACTACATGAAGAACTCTGGTTTAACACAGCTGTTGTTTCCTCTAACTGCCTTGTTGACCATGCACATTGTTGACTGCTTTATCTAGTTTGTATTTCTTTTTTGGGATGTAGTTACTTATTCGGTTGGAGATGCTATTGAGGCTGGGTCTTTATGCCAAGACATAGACCAGTTGCTTTCTTTGATAACAGCGGGAAGCATGGTCACAGGTAGTTTTCAGTTGTTGTTCACTCTCTTGCTGTTATGAGCCAGTGAGGCAGATAGGGATAAAAGTACCAACAGCTTAGTGCCAGCAATCTCTCAGAGGACTTCTCAAAGTTCCCTTTGCTACTTCTTTAAGAGGAATAATAAGACTTGTTGGTAATGAAATCAAATAAGAAAAGATCTGAGAGAGCCCTTTCTGAGTTGTGAAGTGCTACACAGAAACTGTTTTCACTCCTAGTGACAGCCAGTTAAAACGGCTGCCCATGGGGTGCACTTGATGCCAACAAACAAGGATTAAGGAACTATTTAGAGGATGGAGGTTCCACTGAGAGCAAAAGGGGAGAAGTGGGGGACATGGAAATATTGAAGACTCCGAGATTGTTGGCATTTTAGAATTGAGATCCTCAGTGTAGAATCATTCTGAGGAAGGATGAATTTCAGGGTGTCTTCAAGTTTATAGGCATTTGAGTTAGACCACAGAGTCACACATTTGAAGAAGTCATTCATCCTATGGTGGCATGACCCTAACACCCAACTGAAGAATTTGCCTTCATGGAGAAGATGACTGTGGTGATCAAGCTCTCTCAAAAGTTTGTCTTGTACAGAAATTCTTTTTTTTTTGAGTTGGAGTCTCACTCTGTCACCCAGGCTGTAGTGCAGTAGCACCCTCATGGTCACTGCAGCCTCGGCCTGCTGGGCTCAAGAGATCTTTTTGCCTCAGCCTTCCAAGTAGCTGGAACTACAGGCATGTGTCACTATGCCTGGTCAATTATTTATTTATTTATTGTAGAGATGCGGTCTCGCCAAGTTGCCCAGGTTGGTCTCAAACCCCTAAATTCAGGCAATCCTCTTGCCTCGGCCTCCCAAAATGCTTATAGGCTTGATCCACTACACCCAGCCAGAAATTTTTAAAATAGCAATAGAACTACCGATTTCTTTCTTTCTTTCTTTTTTACCTATTTCTTACCTGCTCAGTTATCTAGACTTGTTTTTAATGGAAACACAGATAAAGATGGTTTTTAAACTTCTTTTTAAAAATACTAACAGAGAACAGATTGTTTTCATCCCTGGCTCCCCAGGGCTCTGATTAAACTCACATGGTGCCCAGCCATGCCACGATACTTGCATGCAATGTATGTGTGAGCCCACTACATGGTACACTTGGGTTTCCATTCCAGCTTCTGGAGTAGGGGAAAATCCAGGGCACTCTTTCATTCCTGGTCCTTTCAGGTGGAATCCATGTTTGTTCTTTGCTCTTTCAGCATCTTTAGCACTTGACTCTACTAAGACATCAACTGTTGATGAACCGAATTTTCTGTTAATGCTTCTGCCTACATAAGGATCCCTTCTCTTGCCTATTACTGTTACTTACTTGTGGCATTAACCTTCATAGAATGGGTTCCACATGTTGTGTAATAAGCACTTACATTTGAAATTCAATGCATTTCACCTAATGTTGACTGTTAAATCTTAACACATTATCTTTTTGTCAAGGACTGAGCATAATTCATCTTCACTTTAATGGAAAATTAATCTAAGATTTTTACATTAATTCCTTGTGACTATTGTGACATTTCTTTTGATCTTCTAATATCAGAAATCACTGCCAGATTCCATGGATTTTCATATGAAAATTAGCACAGTTATTTCCCCTACTCTTCCTATTTGATGTAATTCAATAAACATTTATTTAGTTCCTAATGCATGCTGGAGACTGTGCTAGGTGTCATACAGAACACAAAGACAAATGAGATGTTTCTTTCCCTCTAAGAACCTATGTTTAAATTCTTCTATGAAACTTTACCTGGAAGTATAATATAAATACATAAACACATATAAGAAGATAGATTTTGGTATAACACATTGTACTAGCGAATACACATGAAGTTTGCTTAAAAGATCTGACCAATTATTTATATCCAGGAATGCAATTTATAAACCTTCTCACCATGGTAGAGCATATAAAGCAATGTTTTAAGCAAATAATCAATTGAGTTTTGATTTTCCTTGCTGTTAACATATTTCCAAAATTTGGACCTTATGTTTCAGTTTATTAGCAAAAAGTATAAAATGTTTTCACAGTAAAGACATAGACACCATTTTAGCACTTATCAAGTTATAAAAGTTAAATCTGTTAAATAATTCCTTAACAAAATAATGAGTAGGAACAGAAACTTCGAACTGGTGAGATGTTTTGGAAATTAATTTTCTTACATTGGAAAGAGGAGTATTCATTGTGTGTCTAGGGGTGGTGGTGACAGTGTAGGGGCCAGGGATTGTGGCATTTAGCATATGGCATTCTGTGTGACTGTGTATGTTGTGGGCAGACCCTGTCCCCTAGAGCCTGATACTCTGCCAATAACACTCCCCACATGTGACCTGCTTCCCTGGCTTCAGGAATCCTGTCCTCCGACAGTTGCCCAGGTGGCAGGTAAGGCAGTGGCACTGTCTAGAAAAGAATGCACTCAGCTCTGCCTGATGAGTTATTTTGAACAAAAGGTGCTTTTTACTGTCTTTGAAGCCAGATACCTTGACTATGAGGTTGAGCTGTAAGAAACTGCCATTGTCAAAAGTCAGAAATGGCAAATGTCAGCAATTTCATGTGCTTTTATGTAATACCTGCTTTCTCACACTCACTTGGTATTTGCTAAGTAACAAGCATGAGTGAAAAATGCTTATAATAGCCTGTCCTTTATTCCTCCTGACCAACTTGTGAAGGGGTTCTCTTATTATCATCATTTTGCAGGAAAGGAAGTGTCTAAGAGGTTGGAGAGGGTCACATGGCAAGTAAGTGGCAAAGCCTCGGTTCACACTCAAGTGTCTTTCAGAACAACACCTTCTCTTAATCGTCATACTCTACGTTTGAAATAAAATTGGACCTTCCTATAAAGACATGACATTTCTTTTTTAAAAAAAGATGTGGGGTACAATTCAGAATTAGGTATACTATACAAGTGGTCATCTTACAGTAAAGTCTGGGCCTCCCTTTGGTCCCCAATTGGCCTAGTTTGAGATCAAGTACCATTATTGATACTGTGTCCCACCCCACCCCCCAGCAGTATCCCACACTACTGCCAATCCCTTTTTTATAGTTTTATGGTAAATGTTCAGGGTCCACTTATGAGTGAGAACATGTGTTACTTGATCTTTGTTTCTGTGATACATCACTGAGTATGATAGACTCTAAATTCATCCAAGTTGCTGCAAAGTCCATATGTTTGTCCTTCTTTATGCCTGTGTAATATTACATTGTGTATATGTACCACATTTTTTAAAATCTAGACAGGCAGCATGGTTGATTCCATGTTTTTGCTATTGTGAATAATGCTGCAGTAAACATGCATGTGCAGGTATCTCTTTTGTAGAATGATTTGAGTTCCTCTGGGTATATTCCCAGTAAAGGAGATTGCTGGGTCATATGGAAGTGCAATGTCTAGTTCTTTTAGAAATCACCACACTGTAAGAAATGCCATTTCTTTTGAAGAAACATGATCTCCCAGCATTTCACCACAACGCCAACTGAGATCCATTATCTAATTATTTATTCTTAAATACCATTCCATTTATCCAGCAATTATTGACCACCTACAGTGTGCCAAGCAGTGATCTAGAACTGAAGAAACTCTAGTTAACAATACAGTGGCTCTTTTGCTCATCTCTTGACCATGGCAGTAGGGATGGTTTTTATTTATAATCTTATAATTTTTTGTTTAAGGAAAGATGTTTGTTGTGATTGTTGATTTTTAAACATTCACTTCATGGGTAGTGACTCTCAGTTGCTTTTGGCTTTATTTGTGAAATGTCACATTTTTCTCATGCAGATTTATTTTGAGAATATGTCAAATTCACCAAAGCATAAAAAAGGGCATCCTGTGTGCATTAGTAAAGAGGATAAGCTCAGAATATCTTTTTTATGGCTTTAAATATTATATGTATTACCTAAAATATACATACTTATATATACACATACATACATAGTCTATAAATATGTATATACAAATGGATATCAAATTTAGGTCTAATAAATACAGTGTGGTCTGTAGTATTTATTAGCAATAGCTAAACCACATGGCTGTAGAATATGCTGTTTCTCAAATGGTGAGTGATAAAGAACCAGTTATCTACATTCCATCACTTAACCGTACTTTCTACAGTGAAAACTATTTACTAGACACATGAAATAAAAAGGACATACAAATACAAGCACAATTCTTTTTTTATTATATATAGATTAAATAGACATAAAATTACTCATTAAGGTGAGGTAAAAGCGTCTGAAACACAGACCACACTTTGAGTAGCACTGTTCTGGAATATCCAT